CCCAGCACTTTTGTGATGTTGCGAACTTCAACAATTTTCAGTCGAAGTTTTTTTAGCATTCCCAAGCTAAAGAATTAATATGTGACAGATAATTTACATACACAAGACACAGTCCCGTTGAATTATYATCTCTTAAAATGTTTTAAGAAAGTCAAATATTTAAAAACTATTATCTTTTTTGACTGAATCATGAAATCCTTAACATCAATTAAGCCAAAGTATGTATTAATGGCAATTAAGTAGCATTTAAAGGAGGATTCAGATTCACAAGTTRTTTTATAAAAAAGTTAGTTTTTTGTTACATTACAACAAACTCTCCATTTCCTTGCTGCCGGTAGTTATCAATAATTCATTTTAAATTATTTAAATTTTGGCCGTTTTTGTGCGTAGTGAATAAAACWTAAATGATTGAAGAGGAGCAAAACGTTTAGGACAAGAGATTATATCGAACCTTTACTTTATTATCGCATTAACACTCGTACATAAATATTTGATATTTGGTGTGCAAATCAGCGAAATAATCGCAAACAACGAAAAGCAACATACATCTACAACAACAAACATCAGGTAATGTTGTTTATAATTTGTATTAGAATAAGAAAATATAGACCTATGACTTCTATATATTACATTGAAATAAAATAAATGAAGTAATTTTATAAATTATTTTATTTTATTTTAATTTAAAAAAATATGCGAAGAAAATTTCCCAAAAYGCCCTAAAATTCTGGCGTCAAACATTTCTGGAGTTCTATGAGCAATTGGAACTTTTGCAAATAAGCATTGCRATCAATATCGGTTCGTTTATTGCCGGCTGCTACACGGAAGTTTAATTGCTTTGATTAAATTTATGGAAACAAGTAATACGTTTTTTATTGCCTTTCTGATCAACTTTTGAAATGCTTAACCCTATTGCGCTTGATGGTTAACTAGTTTTAAAACTAGTTATGGCTTCATCTTCAATATAACGAGAACATAACTTCAGAAGTTCTACAAAMAATTTTTGTTAACAAAGTTATACTTTTAAACTCGCAAAAATATAGGCATGGAGGAGAAATCCGAAAGGATATTCAATTACTTTTACTCAAGCAAGTAAAAAACYATCATCTCCTATTTATTTAGAGGAAGGTTAAGCTCGCAAAACTTCTATTTAAAAAAAATCTACCAACATGTCAAAATGTTTAAGAGGATGCACCTGTTCAAAATGCAATAAACCAATAAGACATTATGGTACCGTAAATGGACATATGTATGTATGTGTKAACACAAGTACATTATGAGTACATACATATGTTTCAGTACAATAAAGTACATAGTCATGATTACTCCGATTTTTGATAAGATGATTATACTTTTAAGGGATTAAGCATTGAAATTGGACTACGATTCGAATAGTAGGTGTGCTAAAGGCATTGGGGAAACAACTAAACTTCCTCTTAATAAAAGCAATATCGAAATGGGGGATGCACAAGGTTCTTTAAAGAACTTACTTGCTCTATGCGTTTTAGCAAGTGTTTTAGGTGAGTATTTTCTTATTTTCTCTATTCGAGTCAAGTAAGTGAAGTGAAGAGCTTSAGATATTAAGCGACCTTAATGTTACTCTATCTCCCTGCTGATTGACTCTCA